CTTCAGCTACAACTCCGGAACTGTCTAGACTTCTACCCTACAGGTCTACAGTTCGATTCCAGTCTATCCTGTGCCCTACGACAATCTACCTACCACTGGCGGTTCTACAGGTCGCAGGTTCAACTCTTCGAGTTGACGTAGATATTATACACAGGTAAGTTGGGGAACTAGGGATCAAGCCCTGGGATCTGCCTCAGCTACCACGAATTGGTGAATACCGTTTCAGAAGAAGAAGAAGAAGAAGAAGAAGAAGAAGAAGAAAAGGAAGAAGAAGGGGAATGCGGAGGGGGAGGAGTAGGAGGAGAAATAGAAGAGAAGAGGAGGAGGAAGAAGACGAAGACGCAGGAAAAGAAGAGGACGGTGGAAGGGGGGGCAACGAAGGCGACTTGTCTGGTGTCATAAGGCCGGTTGCTTGGTGACGAGCACGGCCTGCGTGGCAACAACGGAAGTGCGGAACCAGGGTGAGGTCCCATTAGCAACAAGGATTGGATTGAATGCCCGAATCTTGATGTTTTGTTGGACGGGTGCAGAAAAGCACGATTGATCTGCATTTCTGCATCTCCGCTCAGATCACATCTGGACTCAGGCACTTAATCAAATCCTCTCTGCTAGTGGGACCCCGCCCCCGAGGAGGCTGGCAAACCACTGCTGTGTACCAGTCCACGCAGGCAGCCCAGCTGGGCCTACCGGGTGGGTTCCTGGCAGATCCAATCGGATCCGATCGGACCCGGGCGGCCGATAACGCAGCTGGCAGACACATTTTTACCCTTTTTTCTTTTTCCATTCTATTTATTTCTATGATACTCCCTCACATTTTTCGAATCATCTTGCTGCAGTACCTTTGTTTCCCTCTTTTTCTCGGATAATGCAACAATGATGATTGAATGATCATAATAAATAAAATTTTGACCCTCTTTTCTTTTTCCATTCTATTTATTTGAAATTATTTCTATGATACTCTCACATTTTTCGAATCATCTTGCTGCAGTACCTTTGTTTCCCTCTTTTTCTCGGATNTTTCCATTCTATTTATTTGAAATTATTTCTATGATACTCTCACATTTTTCGAATCATCTTGCTGCAGTACCTTTGTTTCCCTCTTTTTCTCGGATGATGCAACAATGATCATAATAAATAAAATTTTCCGATTTAAACGAAAGAGAAATGAAATATTAGAAATAATAATAACAGCATTACATGAGAGAGAGAGAGAGAGAGAGAGAGAGAGAGAGAGAGAGAGAGAGAGAGAGAGAGAGAGAGAGAGAGAGTGAGGGCTGAAGTTTGTGTTTACATGGACTCTTCCTTTGTAACAGGTATGACGGCCTGTCAGAGACATTTCTGAAGTGTCCTGTGCCCAAGCTGCTTCTGCTAGCAGGGACTGACAGACTCGACAGGTATGGAGCTGTATGGCCCCTCTGATCTTGAAATGGGAGTGATGCAATCAGGAACGACGTGCCTCACTGTTGCTATTGTATCGAGGAAGGCGGAGGCTTAGATTTTTGCCTATGTGATATGTTCTGCCGCATCTCCTTGTGCTCACTTTGAAATTGCAGGGTTGAACTTTCGGCTTTGCGCTCGGCAACTTTGAAGTCCGGGGAGGTGGGGGGGGTGGGGGGGGGAGGGGGAGGGGAGGGCACGGCGGGGAGCAGCCTGGACTGGAAAGGAAGACTGATCATATTGAAGGCGTCTATTTGTCGTGGACAACCTGCTCATAACTTCATGCTTAGAGTTGCACCTTTGCTTGAGGACTGGGACGTGCTGGAAATAAATCCTCGGAAATCCCACAGTCGCCGGCGGGAGTTAGGGGCTGGAGTTGAAGCACTGGAATGTGCTGAGCCCAACACTCCCTCTCAATCTGATCACTATGGTAGTAGGGTTTTCTTTTTTCCTCACTCGTCAGTTCTCGATGTACGAACCTCACCAGTCGATTTGTCAAGGTTAAATTCCCCATTTACTGGGCCTTAATGTAACGTTTCACAGGGTGCATTGCCTCACGCAAGCGCTCTTTCTTTTCCGTTGTTCTTTTCTTGTTTAGAGTGGCGTGGGCCTTAGGCTTTTTGTATACTCGATGCCGGATCTTCGCAGTGAGCCTTTTCTGATTCCATCAGATTCAAAACCATGACCTGTGTACCATTCGGCCATATGGGCTGGGTACCTCATGCTAGCTCTCAGCTCCATCTCCAGTAACTTTTTCTTTTTTCGTCCGAAGGTCATCACTGGCTTTGCGAAGTTAAATTTCCTGTTTGCTGGTCTGCTGGATTGCGTAAATTCAACGATGCTTTTGGTGTCTTCTCGTGAAAGCTGTGGTGAGCTGTGTTCGTTAGCTCGCAAAATTTAGAAGTCCACTTTCAGACTTCGAAGTGCAAAGTTTCAGTATTCCTTTTCTTGGCTGAGATGTACGGGCTTGGTTATATACGTCAGGCTGCGTCTTCCTCATGTTCCCGATCTCGTTCCGATCGAATATATATATATATATATGATGTGACAATATATATATATATGCCTACGGTCTACCGGGCAGTTCTATTTGACGATATATATATGATCAGCTCGGACTGCATTTAACCCCGCAAGGCATAGACCACACGGGAGATTTGCAAATGGCTGACCAGGATCATATGGATGAACCGCTTACT